CGAAAGAGATTTTTAGATTCTTTAGATCTTGTGATCCACCAAAAAACATTTGCCTCACGTCTGCCATTTATCTGCTGCCTTCAGGAGAATGAATCCACAGCTAATTCGAGTTTAATGAAACACCGGCAACACCTCAAACCCTCTCGAGAGCTCGAGCCATTCCAGCGGGCGGGCTTGTCCGTGGCCAGCCGTCGGTTCAACCCACGCCATCACACAAAGCCCCCCAGAGCCCGTTTTCATGATGAAAATTGATTAATTGCAAGGGGTGGGGTTTGCTTTTTTTTGGTCGACATTTCCGTTCTTGCCAATTTGGGCTCTGGCCTCCGGCGCCAATTATGAGAGTTTCGAGTGCTTCAATTATGAGTTGTGTGGGTGGCTCCACGAGAGACAGACTCCGCACAGATCGGAGCAGAGATATGCCCTAATAATACCCATAAATCCGACATAAACTCCATTGAAAGCGCTTTTTTATCTGCACAAATGTATCTTCAACAAGGCGCAGCTCAAAGACTGGCATCTGTTCCGCATTATGACGAATGTAAGCCACGTTCTATGGTCCCCCATGTCCTATGCAGCTCAGGTGCCAAGGGGCCCACGACAATTTATCTAACTATCTAAGCGCTTCATATACTCGTATGTCCATATGTACGTGCCGGCTGTCAGGAGCGGTGCCCCCAGTCAGTCGTACCCGCGCAGATACCATCTTTCGCCTTTGGTGCCGTTTTACTTTGATGCATTCCCAATCGGCAGACCGACCGACCATACACAATGACGGTGGCTAAATCACGAACTGCCGCTGGTCTTTTGTGCTGCTTGTATCTTTGAGCTGCAATTTCAGCTAATTTTGCACACAGACGCCAACAAAACAACACTAAAACTTTTTTGCATGCCAGCTTCAAAGCTGGCTGAAGTCTACAACGAAAATCACTTAGCCTCATTTAACATGGCTGACCATTAAAATAAATGATTTAATTTTATTATTGCAGATAAAGCTGCAACATAATGTGCCTAAAATTCGAAAGATTTGACAGGGCAGCTAGTCTCAAATGAGATAGAATCAACTAAAAGTTGCTAAGTTATTCATGGCTGTGGTTAATCGCAGATGGAAATTCGGGGTGTCAAATGGGATGTACAGATGCAGTTCAGGTTGGAGAGTAGTAGTAGTTCTTTGTAGTAAATTAAAAGATCATCAGCCAAGCAGTTTTTCTAAGAAATTTGGCAACATTGCCCTAGTGAAAAGTGTCAACATTGCCACCCAAGAGCCGCTGCGCATGCGCAAAAACACAATGCAGTGACTGACTAATTGAATTTGCATACATACCCATCTAAGCGAGCGCCCTGTTCTCTCTTGCGAATGGATTTTGAAACGCCTTAGATAAAATGTGTCAACAGCAATTGGCGCTACTGCAAATTGATTTTAATTGTATGCCCAAGAGCCAGCCAGCCAGTCAGCCAAGCAGCTGACGTCATTTCCATGGTATGGTTCCATGCCTCGATGATTGGTTGCGGTAATCGTAATCGTTTCTGAGGCACATTGGGACATCGAACCGGCAAGACGCCAATGCAAAAAAACGGGCGGCAAACTTGCAGAATTGGCAGAGAGATAGATACCCGGGTACGGGTACAAGTATTTGCAGTTGCTGGCCAAAAACAATTTAAATGCAAATCACGTGTTCCTCTTAATGCACTTGATCAATGGGCCAATTGGATGGAACCGACTCCCGGCTGAACTTGGACCACAAATGGAAATGAAAATGGAAATGAAAATGTAAATGAAATGGCAAATGGCAAATGGCAAATAGCTGGCAATGAAAACTGACATTTGAGGGAAATGCGGCCAGTAGGTGCAATATTGAAATTGATTTCGAAACAACCATTTATTCCTATTGACTGCCCAGCGAGCTGTGTCAATCGATTGCAATGACTCGAAGAACCTTTTAACCATCGATCTTCGGCAAAGTATCTGGTCGTATCGAATGTCCCAGACAATCCGACATTGAATCAAAAATTGAGCAACTTCAGATGCATTTTCCATGTCATGTAATTGAACACCTCACTCACAAAATGAGATACTTAAAAAAATTTCAAAGTCTCAAATTGCAGCCACAGAAAAGCTGTCCGACAACAAGTTCAACTTGTTTTCGTATGAATCTGTGTATCTTTTTATAGAATCTGTCATAAGCAAGAGGTGTTGGGCTTAACGCCTTCATTCCACGTCCTCTTCACGAGGTTTATGCAAATCCCGATAGCTTATCAAGTCACATTATGTATGTAAATAGATGTCTCACTCTTGCCTAAATATTCTGTTGGAAAGGTCAAGTTGAAGACTAAACACAAATGGGAGCACTTGAATGGGTAGGAAGGTCAACACTGGCAGAGAGTCGTTGCTTGGATACCCTGTAAAGTAAAGTTTTCGCTATATTTAAGAGATTTTTCCTTCCTTCTTAGAGGCAGGCATATATTTGTGAGTCTTATCCATCTTTTACTGTTTTCTCTGCATTGTTTATCAAGTCCGAATTCCCCTAAAATGTATGTGCCCTTTACAACAAAACATTTTGCATATAAATCAAACAACTGTTGCTCATAAATTGTGTCTAGTTTGTTGTTTCATTCATGCTGTCGTCATTGTTGGTTCGGTCTGTGTTCCTAGCACTTACAGACACAAAATAAAGACACATGCATGGAAAAATGTATGGGTCATAGCCCGCCCTGGCAAGGTCAATCTGAAAGAGAAGCCAAGCATGTCCACTAATTCAGTGTCTGATTTGGGTACCATGTAGATTCTATTATTATTTTTAATTACAATTTTCTGCGATAAATACTGGCATTAAAAAGTGTTTAACTACAATATGATGGCGCACACTCGGTGGCGTTGTTTGTCCCTCTGTAACAACAATGTATTTTCACAGCTGCAAAGTGTGTTTTCATTTTCAAATTTAAGCAAATAAATTCTTGTGAATTCCACAAACAATGATCCACAAACAGAGCAGAGCGAGAGAGAGGAAATATCTTGCATCTTCAGACAGACATGAGGAACGAGAAACCGCTCACAAAATTCGATCCTAAGGCCAGGGCCAGTGGCAGGAAAGATATATTTATTGTGATTTCAGTCTCGGCACTCGGCAGAATTCCTGGAAACAAATTCATGACTTCGACAAAACTGCAAATGTATTATCTGTTTGTGGCTTTTTGCTTGAAACGTGATCAAGGCAGAGTCCCAGAAAGAGGCGGATCCGATCCTTTTAAGAGCTGGCGTTGCAGATGACATCATCAGCTTGCCCCAAAAATGATTCTCTCTCTTGTTGGTGGCATCGCAGTGATGCCCGTGAAAGACGTGACCGAGTTGCACTTATTGATGCCGCGGATACTTGAAGACGCCGCTCAAGGAACGCTGTCCGTCTGCCTGCTGCAAGCTGATAATTTATGACAGTTTTTGCCTTGCCTTCCTCCAAATGAATATTAATTGAAAAACCCCCCCATTAGGTCGTGGCAGCATCAGCAGTCGTCTGACAGACAGTTTTGCCTTTTATGGTGCACAGTTGTCAGCGAATCGACTACTTTACGATTTGTTTCTGTTTTATTTTTGCATACCGATGGCCAGAATCGAATATATGGTTTGTGATTTACATTCGGTAATCCTATTATGTAAATTAAAAGACAGAAAGTATATAATATCAAGCCAGAACATGTGCTGTGGCGTCATACATTTGTTGTAGAGAGTCATCGACCGATTTGCTATTGATCTGAGGGCAGAATCTGTAAAAGAGGGGAATAAGCACTTGTCTGTGAATGTGGGCGAGTAGAACCGGCTTGTATCTCGTAGATAGCAGAAACCAGTCATAAAGATACAAGCTCAAATGCACTCTTCTTCCCCTGCCACTACTCTCAGCCCTTTAATTGAGTGTCACAAAGTTGATGGCCCTTTCCCCTGCCATTTCCTTCGGATATTTATAAAAGTTTTGTGCTGGTTTGGAGAACGATTATGAAAGAGATCATTCAAGTTGTTTTTTTTTTTCATTTACCTGGACTTTCCACACCCATTATGGCATCGGAATCCTCTGTGTGAGTGTTTTGGAGAGAGCATTTTTGGGGAGAATAGTGGGTGTTTTTTTTTTTTGTATGATATTAGTGATGTTTGGAGTGACTCAGAGACAGGTACACGCAATTGTCTATTTGTATGAACCGAACAAATGTTGCCAAATAAAACAAAAACTATATCTGGGATGCATTGCCTCATAGCATCTGACTAATGGGTGGATGGGTGAAGTGGCAGTTTGAATAATTCGCTTGCATTTGCATTGCTAATAAATCGCAGATATTTTCGGTGTCACTGTGCAGCTTTTTCTCAAGAGATCATGCCACACATTCCGTATGTGTGTGTGTGTGGAAATTCAAAGTCAAATACTTTGCACAAACATCTGTTCGGATGTCTTGCTGAATGAATTTTCGAATTTTCGCATTGTGTGAGAATTATTTTTGGTTGAGGTGAGCATGCAAAAAGCCACAAAATGAATGAGAAATTATATTTTGTGATGCAAGTGCTTTTAGATCATCAAACTATATTCTATATAATGGGTGAGCAATTGGCTGATGAAACGAAAGAAATCATTCAAGGTGTATTGAATTTCTTGGATATTTTATAAGCAAACAAGAATTCGGGGAGTACCCCAAAAAGTAAGAAAACACACAAGAAAACCAGAGCTAAAATCTAAGATCAATAAAAGTTTGGTAAATTAAAGAGAATTGTTAAAAAAATCAGACACAATTTCTCTCTATAAATATATTAAGATTAAGAGATAATTCCTTAAAGAATAATTTCAAAATATAAAATTAAGAATGCATTTGAAGAATATATCAAAAGAATGTGAACTAAATTCCATAGATTCTGGGATAATTTGTATCAAAGAAAAAGCATTCATTCGGTAGATGGACTTGTTCGATATCTTGTGGATACATTTGTGGCATAGACGTATGTAGATTCAGTTGTAATTGCCACTCACCTTCATTGACGTAACCGCCCTCCATGGTGCCAAATGTGTACACCTCGCTGCGGTTGCCGTTGCCTCTGGCTGTGCCCCTGCTTTGCAACACTTTGGCCGCGACCTACGTCTATGCTGCCACAAAGATCTCCAACTGCTGCTGCCTGGCCTGGCCTGGGCAATGCACTCGACACCTCAGATGAATCTGTTGCAATGCGTTCGAGTTCCGTACTGCGTACTGCGTTCCGGGTTCTTCGATTCTTATTTATTTTTATGCCAAGTATTCTGTTGTCTGGCTATTTATTAGAATTTATCTGGCGATTGCCCAACCAACCGACGGCACTCTCCAAATATTGCTGCCTGATGGAATATTGTATGTGCAACGCATGCAGACCAGAGTGTGGGGTTTGGGTACTGCCACTGAGGTCTCAAAGATCTATGGCGTGCAAGTGGCCGGGCATCTTGTGGATTCTCGCGGTTCCAGTCGCTGAGTCGAGGCAATAAACAAACACAGTCTCTCTCTCTCTACCGACCCACTGTATCAGTGCGGAAATGTGTTCTATCTGGAGGTTGTATCTTCAGGTTCAGGTCCTCTGCTTATGAATTTGCATTTGGCCCGTTCGTTGGCTGCTTTCCCCCGTGGCTTATGTTGTCTTTTGCTTGTCTTCTTTGTGGGGTTCGGGGATGGGCCTCCTCCTAATACTTATTGCGGCTGTTGATGTTCTGTTCGCTGCTTTGGCCTGCAAGCAAATAGAAAAAAACCAAAAACCGATCATAAATAAATGCTCTTCCACCAAATTGTTCATAGATAAATGCTGACCCCCAGCATGACTGTGGGGTTAAAGCAAATAAATCGTATCCAATCCCATCGAATAAATGGACATGGCCCCATGGTTTGACCCCTGACACTCCCAGATAAATATTTGCCTAGGAATTCGTTGGATTTTGCATCCATGCGGGGAAAATACTCTAGAAATTCTGCACACATTCTGTTCTTCCACTCTAAGAATAGAAGAAAACAGAATCTTTGGAACGTCTTGGCACATTTAGTTCCTTTATTTCCGCTTTTGCTTTTCGCTCAATTACTTTTGTTGTTGCATGCCTCGTGATCAGTGTGTTCCACAGTTTTGCTTTTATTCATCAAATAAATTGTACCATTTCTGGAGCTGGTTTACTATATCACATCTCATGATGTCACTTTGTCAATATTTTTGTGGCCGCAAATCGAAAGCTAATTTGAAATGCAAACACGATCGCCGCACACACACACCAGAAAGGTAGAAAAAAAAAGAGAAAACACAAATTTGATTATTGATAGCCCGGAATGCATCCCCTGTTTGGTTTGGTTTTTGTTTGCATTGGCAATCTTCGATTCGTTGGTGTTTTGACAATGATTAACAAGGCAAGTTCAATGTCAAAACCACAGAATGGAGGCCAAGCCACTGGATCGTATCGTGTTTCAAGCAGAGTGCTTTCAGAGCTTACTCGTTTGGGCTTAGACAGCACCCAAAGAGACACGGAGTAGAACCGCTAACGAACAGCGCACACAACGAACTGCAAGAGAAGCAAAGCCGGAAAACAAATAAAAGATACAATATTAAGTAATAATAATAAAAAAGAGAGTGAGGCATGGGATGCCTTAATTGTCACCATCAAAACTGAATGGTGTGCGTTGTCATCAATGGATTCATACTTGACATTCGATTAGGCTCCAAGAACGAGACCCAGAAACGACACATCAACATCCAACGCACCCAATTCTTGTGCCAAAAAGTAAAGAGATCGAGAGAGTGAGACTCGTAAGCTTTCAACTTTTGGTTGACTTTGGTGGTTGGTTCCATTTTGATCGGCGAAACGAATTTTAATTGAAGCTGCAGACCACCGATCGACATGGGGAGTGGGAACGGGACTGGGACCCTGAGTGATTACATGAGACACAGTGTCTGTTCGTCTCTAACAAGTCGCATAATTAAACTGGCATTTGATTAATAATCATTGAACCCGACATGACCCGCACTTCCCATTCCCATACCCATCCCATTATGCCTCCCTCCCTCTGTCCCATGTTAACCCTGTTGGTGGTTTCCCTTTTGTGGTTTGTTGTAACAATTAGGAAGAACATTAAGCATTTAAAATCGAATTTTATTGGTTTAAATCTGTGAAAACAGCCTTCGATGGCCCTTACTTTCAATCCAATGAATTGGATCAATTGTTATTCCATACATTTATTGCTTAACGAGTGTAAATATTGAAAGTTAAGGACAACCAACATTAAAAGGGTCTTTTGATGATGCATCTCCAATTGATCTCAATTCGCATTGCCTTCGAGGGTGTCATCAATCAAAACCATAAAGTGCTGTTTCTGCTGCTTTTACTTTTACTGTGGATTGGGGATAGGGATAGCTGATGGACTGCCACCGACGAGTGTCGAGTTAATTGCCAACACACAAAGCGGTAATTATATAATTGTCATGGCTGACGGTGCCCTTGTCTTGAGTTATTATTCTCTCTCTCTCTCTCTCTCTTTTTTATAACTGGTGACAATGACACGGGCCGGGGCTGGGGCCTGGCATTGGCGGGGTTACGTGTGTACCATTGACCCTTCAACAAGGTTGGAGTGACAGTTAAATCTGCACAAATTTTGGGCACAATTACTGGTTTAATTATTATAATTGACCGAAAAAAGGTGGAAGTTTTCTATTCCTGAAACTCGGAAATAAGTGATAAATCATTCATCAACACTTAAGTGGAACTCTGACGAATAAATCTGCACACATTTAGGGTACAAGTGTTGTACATTTCTAAGTATTCCAATTTTTATGCATTGCGTACTTTAAAATGGATATAAGCTTGTGTTGCGTTGTGGATTTGTGTTGCCAAAAAATACCCAGTAATTGGATACGTCTAAGAAATTATAAAAAGAATTGTTCCAAGAATCCAACGAAATTGCACAATTTATTGTTTTCTAAAGATCTGCAACAATTTCCCTTCGGACAGCATCCTCTGTCACTCCAACTCTGCCTAATTTTGTAATAAATTTAGAGCTGTTCCACCCAAAAAGTATTCCATGGCAAGGAGAGACTAATATGCAAATTAGCATTGCAAATTATTACTCATGTCGGTGTCGGTGTCGGTGTCTATCCCATGAGCACTTCATAATTTAGCCATCTTTATGGCATTCGTAATAACCATTTTGTCTCTATTATTATTTCCAGAGCGTTACAAACGCCCACCAATGCCCGAGAGATAGAGATACCGACTGGGTACCGTGAACTGTCTGCACTTGCCAGCGATTGCAATATTACGTATACGAATGTATATATACGTAAAACTTGATGACGGATCATTAGGCTTCAGCAGCTTCAGGCTGAAAACACACACACAAAAACCAATTAAGTGAGAGACCGACCCACAGCCAAACAATACAATCGAATGTGTGGCAGTGGCAGAAACAGAGACAGTGGCAGGGCAGGGCGCTAACCAAAGGGGGGAATACGAGTAGGTTCAAATTAATAGCACCAGTTTTTTCCTCTGTTTTGTTTTTTCAATACTCTGTGTATTCTGTGCTGAAACTGACGACGTCATCGTTGTCACTTTTCTGACAGTGACTTCTGTATGGGTGGTGGAATAATATAAATAGGTAATTTACCCACAGCCATTCCTCACAGTATCTGCGGTTTATTTTCGGTTCTCTTTTGTCAGGCGCGAATATATTCATAGATATATTATTGAAAGTAAATAGCGCGAAACTGGGTCAGCAACAGCATCCCCCACAGTGACAGCAGCAGAAATATGATTGATCTCTTTTGGTGTTTGGGGGAAAACGCATAAACTTGATACCGCCAATAGTATTTTGGCGCCGAATTGCTAATAAGAATAAGCGCCAGTGCCAAGTGCACGTGTCTTATGGCAAATATTACTATAATTCACAGGAACATCCATTTTATGAGCTCCACCGCCATAAAAGCGCCAATTACATCACAGAACTCTCTGTGTGAGTCACGACTCAAGTTCAGCGCACTCTCATCAGCAGGAATCTACAACATCAGCAACAATATGGAGAAAATTTACATACAAATTCATCCGTTTCCCTGCTCTGCCTACAATTTGGAAGTATTGGTAATTATATGCATACGTGATGAAAATTCGCAAGCTCTTTTGGCACTCGCCGAAAAAGATGTTTATTGAAAACGGATATATCAATAGGTTTTCCAGTGGTTTTATTTCTAAGGAAATTGGTGTGTTATTATCATATTTCGTTTCTCAACACCTTAAATATTGCCCGAACAGCAGGCATTTTTCTAAGAGGTACGAATTTGTGTTGTTTTTGCATAATGTTTGGTTTATTTATATAAAATGCAGTGAGAAAATGTTTGAAATAAGTTAGATTCCTTCCTTTATTTTGTACTTATCTATCAATTTATTATTAGATAATTGATTCTTGCTGCTCTCTATAAAGGGTATCGCAGCGTAGACTTCCTCTTTCTCTCACTTTTCGTTCCAGCTGCACATATAATAAGAAATTCGCTCGTTGAAGTGCCCTGATCAGAAATAAACAGTATTAAAATAAAATTCATGGAATTTTCGCACTTAATTGCAGCTGGATTTGGGTTCCAGCTCATGGCTGTTCGGTTACCTTCGATGGACCTGGCCAAATTTCGACCTCAAATGCTTGATTCTTGTCGGAATCAGAATCGGAATCGAAATCAAATCTAATTTAAATTGAGTTTATTTGTTCAGAAATATGTGTTCCCTCATTCCATTGGTTGTTTGTATGTAGTTCTTGTTTTCGGCATTTTTCCGTGCTTTTCTTTCGACCTTAGTTGATCGTTTGTTTTAGTTGGCTATATTTGTAGGTGATCTTATGAGTGGCCACTGGCCAAGCGACAGGTCTGCCTGTCTGCCTGTCTGCCGTGCCGTGCCATTGCCACTATCGAAGGTGCAGTAAATCATCCAAGTTTGTTGCCATATCTATTTGATTTTATTTTATTTTACTTGTGCTGTATTTTCCTTTTTATCGCCACACACACACACCGTCCGTTGAGTAAATGAAGCGTGCGCTCCAATTTCGTGTCAATGGGAGGGACGGGCGGGTTTGTGCTGTGCCATATAAAGTCTGTCTCTCTGACATTCATAGTTGTCACTTGTCCGCTCAGTGGAGGTGGGAGTTGGGTGCCGGACAGAGCCGGACATATTATTTTGTTTGTTTGTTGTATTCGTGGACAAGTGACGTAAGTCGGTCGGTAGACCAGATAGATACACGGTATCATTTCAAGGTTAATGTGGCTTACAGACCCAAAGGTTTCTAAACTGTGGAATGGGTTGCAGTCGATATAAAGATATTATTATTGACACACTCCATGTACTCCATGTATATGATTCATTCTTTACGTATGACTACTGTTTCTGCTCCTCTTCCTCATTTAGATATCTCCTTCTGTGAAATCTCTCCACTTGAACAATTACACATGATATCTTTTAGAGGAAAATATTTAATTTAGGTGATAAACTTAAGAGCACACAATCTAATAAATTGCGATGTCGGCAGAGGTAAGGCCTTGGGTGCTGCAAAGTTGATGTCATTGCTATAGGCCCGTTTCCTCCCACCATTCTTCTGGTGGGTATTATGCCATAAAATACAAAAGAACCTCAAGCTAAAAAGGGCCGCCCAACACCAAAAAGAGCAGCAGTTTGCTATCTATGGCTTATCGCAGGGACTTTGGCGGAAAATTCTACATTTTTCCTTTGCATTGCGTGACCAGCAAACGGCTGACACACCCACAACTGCAACGCAACATTGTTCCCCGTTCTTCGCTGCCACATCCCCCCACCGCACTTCAACTCCTTGTCATATTTTCACAACACGCATAAAAATTTAACGCCGTTGCATGTTTGTCATTTGCTGAGCTTTTGACCTCTTGGCCAACAGACAGACCGACAGAAAGACAGCCCAGCAGATGAGTTTCGTCCGATAGGGCTTACAAAAGGAGCGCAACGCAGAGTATAGCGAGCGGGGCATGCACTTTTCGGCATTTGTTGGCCGTGTCGAAAGGGAAACTCATGCCCTCACACCCCTGGGGAAAATTAGTTACGCGCTGGGTGCTGCTGCAGGTGGTTGTTACTATTTTAATATGAAAGAGGTTACGAGTGTTTGTGTGTGTCTGTGCCTGTGGTGTGTGTGGCGCTGACTAAGTTAAATGGAAATGTCAAATGGCTCTGACAGAGCGAGTTGACAGCTTTTCGGAAATATGCAATGGAATGAAAATATATGGAAAGCAATGTAGAGGGGAGGCTTTGAAGTTATTATGGTAGATCCTCTTGGTACACATCTTTCATTGCAAACTTGTCATACCCTCTGCAAAGTGTAACATTTTTGAACTCTCGTCTCTTTTTCCATTCATTCGTCTTCATTCAGCTCCACTGCACTCGACTACTGACTGCTGCTTTTGCATTTGATTTGTCTTGTTCCTTATGTTTTGTCATCTGTCAAATGCATCGCTGACGTCAGCGTAACATTAATATTCATAATGCTCCGAGCACAAGTCGGAACGAATTTAACAGACAGTTTATCAGTCTGGGAGGCCGGGTGGCTTATCAATCATGTGATGAGGCATGAATGAATTTGTCGTCTACCTTTGGTCAAGCATTCCAACATCGAAAGTTTAGTATTCAAACAGTGGCAAATCGCTCGAGGGGAGACTTCATGTTCGCATACTGGTAGATATCGTTTATAAGACTATGATCGAACTATAAGATACTTTTGAGAGCAAATGTAAGGAAATTGAATGTAAGGAACCTCTTTGTAGGGCATATCCTCTGACATAGGGTGTAAAGTTCTAACACTTTGGCCCAACATTTTCTACATTGTGCGTTCCCTTTTAGCGAACTTTCACTGTACAATTATGGGTCTGGTCGCATTGCAATTTCTCTCATTTGTATATTTATAAAGAATGTTTTTTTATACATATATATTACATACATAGACGTATATTTTCGTCTATATATCCGCTAATATTTACTTTTAGCTTAATAGCAAACAAATGTTTTTTTGTTCTTGGGACGGACGACAACAATTTTTACGATGCTAATGTGCTGCGGATCTGACCTTGAAGGTGGCAAACAAAAATTCCACATTTTTAATGCGTTTTTGTAGCTGTTGCTGTTGCTGTTTCTGTTGCTATTGTTGTACACATATTGCACATACTTGTATTTACATATGTATTTGTAGATGTAAAGTGGGAGAAAGATAGAAATTTCCCCACACACAGTAGGCAAACACAGAAAAACAAACGAAAGAGAGAAGCAGACAGACAGACGAACAAACGGTGAGAGAATTGAATGAGGTGGGCGGCGGAATGGGGACTTGCACTTGAAATAGTTTTCTTATGCTGTTCTCTCTCTCTTTCGCTCGTTCTCTTGCTGTTGCTGTCTCTTCCCATGCTTTAGTTTCTAGTTGAAAGAACATTAAAAGTGCTGTTGCTTTAGTTAATTGTTGCAGCGCCACCAATTATCATTTTGTGCTTATCAAAACGCATAAAACCAGCAACAACTAGCAAAGGGCAACGGAATAAAATAGACATAAAGCGTGAATTGTGCAATAAAATGACTATCAGCATTAAATGTGGCATGGAAACACACAGATAATGAATGGAGAGCTCTTCCCCGTCTCTATAATAACTGTGCCAGGTATGTGGTTATACCCTTTGTAAAAGGATACTCCCATAGACTTTCACATCCCTACCCCTTTGCCCCGCTTAAACCCTTACAAGGTGCCAACAAACGAGAGAGAAACCGCAAAAAAGTAAACCGTAAACCGAATCCAACCGTTAGGGAAATGAAATCCTCCCCACCGTAAAGGAAACCACAAAACGTTGCAATCAACTGGCACTCCATGGGGGGGATTTATGGTAAAAATATGGGTTGGTCCCCCACTACCAGAAAGAGAGGGAGAGAGAGTGAGAGAATGCAATTATGCAAATTTCCACACTTTGGTTTCGGTCTCAAAGTGCAGCCATAGAAGAGCGAAAAGAAAAGCAAATCACACGATAACAATCGAGAAGGGGTTTCAAAATTATAATAGAAATTTCATTTAGGCAAATAAAATACACACAATCCATGGGCAATTCAACTAAAATAAATTGAAAACACGCGCCAAAAAGGGAACGAGGGAATAGTCAATTTAATGTGAAATCGATGCCACTAAAGGGGGAAACTACAGAGGGGTGGATCGCCGGCGGGTAAACATTATCCCAAAAGCAAAGCCCAAAAAGGTGAAATATGATCTCTCGTTTGCTTTTACCTGAGTGCAAAACAAACCAGAACAGAGAATTGCAGCCGCCGATGAGCTCATGGAAAATCAAATATACAGATAAGAGACAGGAGGAGGTCTCCCTCCCTCTCACCATGCCCCTAACCATTACAATGAACCGGATATTCGTTGCCTCTCGGCTTACATTATTTCTTTTTTTGGCGTAGTCCCCCAAACAGTTGCCGCTTATCGGGGGACTTCTATCTAATGACAGTGTGGCATATGCCTATGCCAATGCTGGCAGATATCTGATAAGCGGGCAAACCGGCCAAAATCGTTCTAGTGTTAAATTAAAACGAGAGTAACCCCAGGGCAATACAGTGAGCACAAAATAAGCGGAACTATGACTAACAGAACTGATGGAAACATCAGAAATATGAGAGTTCGCTGTACTTGATTGTCGCCTGAATAGACAGCATTGAAAGTTAATTAATGGGCAAAATGCGAAGCCAGCGAGTGGGTGGCGCATAAAATAGAATATTGTGGCATATTTCCAGGAGCTTAGGACTGGCATATGGCAGCGTCCCACTTGGATGTGAGGCAATGCCTGAGAGGCCCATTACATGCCCCAACAAACAAGTGGTTTGCCCAAGCGAGCCAGAAGTGCATTCTACTCGTACTTGGAGAGGTGGTGCAGGTCTCGGTCTCAACACCCACACATGCCACAAACCAAACACCACAACACAACCCATTCAACACACGTGCCCACCACACAGCGCGGCCAGGGCGCCCCGGTCCCGGCCGGCAGCCACTTGTTCGATGTTGCATTGAAATTGAAAACAAAAGTTGCTGCAACCAAAAAATGTTGCCGCCCCAATCGGGAAAACATCTGAAAACAGCACAGCTGTTCGATACGGAGTGGGGCGGATGGTGGCAAGTCGTAGGTGAAAAGTTCAGGCACTGCACCATCAGAGCCCCCGTGTCCTTGGGATTTTTCAGCTGCTGCAAAGCGAAGCCGGGTCTGGTTTCGGCTCTGCAGTGCATTCGGCGAAGGACATTTCCGGTAAAATCAATAATTGTCCGTGAGGATGCATCCCCACACACGACTTTCCACATTCAAATCGATTTCAATTGATTGCCAAACTCACCTTTTGGATAAATATTTAAAGTTTTTGTTGTTCCACTTTTTGGTATTTCACTCAAATTAGTTTTTAGATTGCTTTTTTAGCTGCTGCTGAACAATTTTCAAGCTGTTTTTCTCCTTCACAAAGTGAAACAAGAAAGATTGTAATTAAATTTTGTTCGATTTGGTTTTACGAAACATTACAACACCCGTTACACCGTACACTGTACACTGTGATTGTGGCTGATAGCATGTCGGTCTGTCCGTGTGCGTGTGCGTGCGTATTTGACTCTCGATTTTGATTAGAGCGAAGGGGAAATTAATGCAAATCGATGGAAAATACACAACAACTACGTAGAGCTGATGTCTGTCGCCTATTGATGTCTGGGCCGTCAGGGGCAATGTCAGTCCTGCATATTTGTTGAAAAATCTATTAAATATTGTAATTTTTTGCCATCCGTTCTATTGTTCGAAAATTGAATGGAGGGAACAGGTCAGAATCGGCCAGCACGCATGGCTAACTAGTTTTCAGCCAGCATTCAGTTGAATTCTGTTGCCCAAATGGCAAACAAAACGCCCACCACACAAATAATAATAATATCGCCCACTCATTAACAACAAAAAATGTATGAAGCAATAGAGAGCACACACACGCACGCACCACAGATAACAACTGACGAAAGAGACTTGCGTACCGTACCTTAATCAAATAAACGTAAGAACAATCGCTGTTGGCCAAAAACTGAATAGTTTTTTTTTGTTTGGTTGTACCTTTACGCGAACGACTTGAACTTCGATTCAACCACCACAATGTGAACGCTCTACCGACCGACGTTTCGCGTTTTAAAAGCCGCAGCAGACTGCCTGCTTTTGAATATTGAACATGAAAGAGACATGAACGGACGTGCACGAACGTGCACCAGAGCGAACTCGTGTGTGAGCATTTTGCGGTTCGTTTCGGTTCGGGCATACGAGGCGCATGAAAGCCGGCAGTGTACAGCGGTGGTGGAAGCGGAGAGGAAACAGCTGTTCGTGCGGAGCTTTCGAACATCGAACATGGAACATGTTGGGACGTTGGGGCTTCTTATCAGTTGGCTGAAGCATGCTCCAACTGCAATGATAAAAGGAAACTTTTTCATGGGGTAAGAACAGGTCTTAGGTCAATAAAGTAAGCTTTTATCTCTGTTAGAGGATCATCTGTGATCTTAACTTCTTATATTTTGTATCTAAAATATCTTCAAGTAAACTCACTAATCTTTCTAACATTCTCAAATCTTCTTTAATTCTAAACTTGACTTTGATGGTGTCATTTGGCACTGAGTCACTTGTGACAATCCTAAGTGGTACGCAAATCATCTGTACATGTGTTTCCGTTCAATATTCGGCCACTGATGACACAGTCACAGAATAATAATTAATTTTGCAAGACTCTGGCCCTCTAGGCGTGACTCAAAAGCGAAATGGGAATTTCTAATTTCTGAAATGACCAAAAGATGAGCAAATATCTACAATAAAAGAGAGAGAGAAACAAAAATTAAATTTAAATATTAATTATACATTTTGCCTTAACAATTGGTAGTGCTTTTCATGCTCCATTCTCTCTGTACATGTCCTGGCCTCAAGGATACTTTGCCCAACCACTTAAGCGGTTCATCAATAACTGCGTGACTGCACTCTAGCCTCAACTGGCTAATAAATAATTCAAAGCTACTCGAAAAACCAATAAAGAAGAGGCAAAACGCAAACGGGTTCATTTCCTGCCCTTAATTCGACCGAAGGACGAAGTTCTGGTAGGTGTAGTCCGAAAAAAGTTCCATAATTCATTTGGCGACGACCAACAGAAACTATACCAATTAATTAATACAAATTATGAAACGGAAAGCCAGAAAGCGAGAGGTCGGAAAGGAAATGGCCAAAGCCGCTGAGTTATGCTCACGGAGAACGCATTTCGCTCGCCTTTGAAATGTCCTTGCAATCCTTTCACGACGCCGACCCAAATACTGGCCAATGCTTTGTGTATTGGCCACGAAAAATGCAAATTCCTTGAGTTCCAGCCACTGAGCCAGAGAGCCACTTGCTCCACTTAAGCTCTAGCTTCGTGTGTGGGAGTTGTCCCTATTGATTTAATTCCCAGTGACGCAATTCTCGTGGAGAGTCGCGTCGAGTTGAATGTGCCACCGTGGCTACGTATACTCGTAATCCTGCAGCGACGGCGACCCCAAGGGGTTGTTTGTGCCACGCTCTTTTTCGGCGCTGCTTGGCAGACACTATGCTGTGTGTTTTCCCATTAGCTTGGAGGCGCCACAATGACTGCGCATAGTTTTATGGTATCAGTTTTTATGTGTGCTTCTGGCATTGTCATTGCTGTTCCCTGCCTTTTCCTTTTGGCTGTGTAATTGATATACATTTTTTGGGTCTGGTCTCCTTTCTGTGTTTGTGGCTGCCACTGCAGCTGGGGTCTTGACCTAGACAATTCTTGGTCTCTGCTTAGATTTCCATCAGCAGAAAGGTCAGTGCGGCGTATTCTCAACATGTAATGCAGATGGATGGAGATCCTAAAGAGATTACCCCTCATTTGCATAGACAAATGAGTAATAATTGTTTGGTCATTCATTAATCATGCTAATACCCGTAAAACACTTTTAAGATGACAATCGAAATGAGTCAGGCAAGGAGGAGGTGACCACAAAATCCAAACTCTCAGCAAATGTTGACTAAATTTCGACCGCTGGCTAATAAATATTAGTCAACATTTGTTGACTTAGCAGAGTGTGTACGTTCAGCCTTATTGGTCTTTTGCGGGGGGTAGCCTGAGAGCGGATGGGGAAATGGTCAATGACATTTGGGGGCAGCAGTTGCAAGGTTATGGGGAATATATCGACCGTCCTCCAGAAATTTCTCAAGTTGGAATCATAATGGAGTCATAAGGTCTAGCATTGTCATCCTATATACAATATTTAGCTAGAATTTTGCTGGCAAATATCGCTCGAAATCGCCAACTGAGTCAACAATGAGGTAATGCCAGCTCGAAACTCAACTTTAGTATCTCAGGGGGAGGAAACATAACATGGAAAATCGTTTGTTTTTAACAAGTGAGCGGTGCACTTGGACTCGACACCATGCTGATAAGACAATTGCCAGTCTTTGTACCACCGTCTGACCCACTGACTGATTGACTGGATTGCAAACAGTCTATGTCGACCAACTTATGAGGCATTTAATCAGCACTAACAGAAGTTGCGAGCCACTTTAGCCCCACACTTGCATGGCGTTGCACTTCCTTAATGCTCCAAGACAAACATCGGCAATTGTAGCACTGCAGCACTTCTCGAACTGGGAAATATCACAGAAGGGAGAGGGGTGTGAAGTGGGTGATGCTATGGAGTATCCATGTTACGTATATTGTTGCGAATTCCTTAATTAATTTCGATTGCTTTTTTAGTGACACAAAAACGTCGGAAATTCACCAGTCCCCAGAAGATTGCCAATTCTTAAATTTCGAACATCATAAAATCATAAACATTAATTGGTGAAAATGATGATTGCAATTTCCATGAAAATACTCTGCCAGAAAGTCCCAATATTTTCGATGGAGTTTTGAATAGTCTTTTGAGGATAAATATATAAAATTAAGCAATAAGGAGATATTCTTAAATCAAAATGTGTTACTTGTATAGGGTATAAATGAACATATATATCCAAGACTATTCTTTAGGTCGGAGCTATCATGTGGAGGAGTTATGAGAGTTTAAAAAATCAACCGAAATCGTATCCTACATCTTACATCTCTACATCTACGTGAATGCTTACATGTACTATACATTTCTCAGTGGCGCCAGTTCCACACTGCTGATACATGTATTTTACGTACCTTCGACACCAGCCATATAGTATGCTTCCTAAAGCGGTGATTTGAATGAAAAATTCAAATAAAAATTTGTAAAATATAAGGTCATACGATACACAATCCAATATAAAGGAGTATTTATAATAAGCCAAATTGATTCTTCAATCGGAATTGATTATTGTTTCAGTGTTCCGAGTCTTTGCAGAGCTAGTAATATAATTTAGGACTGCGGTATATTTTTGGTATGTTTTTCAAAATGAGACGTAATATTTTGGCATAATTTTGAGGGTCGGGCGATATATTGTATCGATAATTCGGCGGTCACACTATTTCAACCACGAGATAAAATAAATAAATAAGAAATAGGCGGGTTTTTATCCAATTAAGACAAGAATGGAAGGCGCCAATGTACTCGCGGACGAGCTGATGCGGCGTCTGAGCGATGGCGGCACCTTGGGTAAGTGGGGGAGCAGCGCAAGTCGCTGCAACATGCGGACGCACCTGTTGTAACAAATTTCTCCGTAAACAATTAATTTCAGAGGAGGTGATCGACAGTGAGATGTTTGAGAAGACACACTTTGCGGACGCCGATGACATTATCGTGGTGCACATGGACATCAGGGAGCCACTGACGGCACTGAAGTAAGAGCAGCGAGCCCCATGCAACGGTGGCACATGGACAGCACTGACGAAAACGTTTCTTCTTCTTGCTGTTACAGAAAACTGGTCGAGGACAAAATTGATGTGGAACTTAACTACTATTCGTTTTGGCTGCAGGATGCCCAAGAAGTGAGTGCTGGTCTCCCAGAGTTCCCGCTGCTAAATCTTTTTCTTTGTTGCAGCTCGAACCGCACAAGAACCTTGTGGATCAGTGTGTCAAAGGCGAGGGTCTGGTACAGATCAACGTTCAAATCCAAACCATACAGAAAAGAATCAACATTGTGGATGTCCTAAAGCCCACGGATGACGCGTTGGCCGATCAGGGGCCAGAGGAGACCACCTCTACGTCGGCGGCGCAGCTCTCGCCACCCGATTCATTGAGCGTCGACGATTCACCCAGTGACAGTCCCGTGAAAACGGAGAGCTTCAAGCGCAAGAGACCGAAGGATGACTCTGAGGAGGAGTCTCTGGAGCCTGCCAATAGTGTGAAGCCTATTCTCAATTGGGTGCTGGACAGCAAGTTCAAACGGGAGCAGGCGCGTCTGAATATACCCGAGGTGGCCAGCGAATGGACGACGGCACAAGTGAGCCACTGGCTGGAGTGGGCCGTGAAGCAGTTTGAGCTGAGCGACATCAGCATGAGCGACTGGCACATCAACGGCAAAGAGCTGTGCGCATTGACACACGAGGAGTTCTCCCAGAAGCTGCCCCATGATCCGGGCAATGTCTTCTGGACACACCTGCAGCTGCTGAAGGAGTGCAACTTTGTGTCCGTCATTCACAAACAGGCCGAGGAGCTGCGGAAGCCCAAGCAACCCAAGATCACGATTCCCGCAAGTGTGGCTGCGGCAGCAACTCTCGAACAGCGGATTATGAGAAAGTCCTACCAGAGCGTCAAGAGTACGGATTGTGAGTAGACGCACTCCCAAGCCAAGGCCTGCCCTCTAATTTATGTATCATCCTCTTTATAGCCGACAGTTCTCCTGCTCCACAAAGTCCCACAAATTACACCGCAGTTGGTTCCGGCAACAATGGCCAGGTGCAGCTGTGGCAATTCCTGCTCGAAATACTCACAGACTGCGATCACTCTGACATCATCGAGTGGGTGGGCACCGAGGGCGAGTTCAAGCTCGTGGAGCCGGATCGCGTGGCCCGCCTGTGGGGCGAGAAGAAGAACAAGCCTGCCATGAACTATGAGAAGCTGTCGCGCGCCCTGCGCTACTACTACGATGGTGATATGATCTCCAAGGTCTCCGGCAAGCGGTTTGCCTATAAATTCGACTGCGATCTGAAGCTGCTGATCGGCTACGATGCCCGCGAATTGTCGCGGCTGGTGAACGAACGGAAACGATCATCCGAGAGCGCACAGGCACTGGAAGCCTTGAGAGAGGATACATGACAGGCCGTAGTTGCAGTCAAGATAGAGCCCGACGACATACTCTGGAAGTATGAGGAGCCTTAGCGCTGGCCACAAGTGTCGGCAAATGGCGGCGCCTGGTGGATATTAATACAAATTGTTAAACATTTAATTTTCTTTAGGCACATGAATTTATTTTCCATTTTGTATTCACTAAGCATTATAATCTCTGTCTATTTAGGCGTAGGCTCTAGCTATAAGCATACCATAGAAACTACAGCTAAATATCTTTACTTTAATCATTATCATTATCTTTATCTGAATGGTATCTCTATCTATATCGTATATGGTAGTATATTGAATATTGTTCGTTACATGAAGTTTGCGATTTTTGTAAAATCTATAAAAACTAAATTCATTTTCCACGCGATTTCCATTTGCTTTTCCATTCGCCTCCACACTCCTCCTCCTCCTCCTCCTCCTCGTGCAGGCATCGTTTTTGTTTTGTGTTTTGTTTCTTTTGTGATTTTACGTGACTAGTTTTTATGCTTGCTTAACTGATTTAACTAAACTAAACGTGGACATTTAGCGACTGCAGCTAAATGGCGTCTCAGTTTGCTTGTTCGATGATCAATGATGACGATGATGATGATGAAGCTTTGTGTTGATGGCCTGGCGGAATGTGCACGCAAATGCTGCTACCTCCCCACAGCTGAAGCAGACGCTAGACATGAACCGTGTAGCGTCGTCAGCCAGGATTAATACTTCTTTTGAGCGATTTGAGCGTGTGCGCTGCTGCAGCGCCTCTACAGCTCTGTGGTGATCTCGTCCTGCGGTCGAAAGCCCAGCTTGTAGAACTCATCCTCCAGCCAGAGCGAGCTGGCATTGAGATCTGAAATGAGATTGCCGCTCTTCAGCGTATTGAAGCTGCTGCCAAAGGGATCCGAGGCGCGCGGCTCCTCGAACTCGTGCAGGCTGATCAGCGATCCGAACAGATGCAGCTTCTGCTGTGCGGATGCGCTGCTGTTGCGATCGCCCGCCAGCAGATCCCCGGCCACCCCCTGGGGCGCCGACGACACTGGAGTCACCTGCTGGTGCCTGAAGATGCTCGCCTGCGACTTTTTGTTGGGCGCTGCATAGAGCACCTCCTGGTGGCCGCCACGCAGCCCGCCAACGCCGCCATGCGAGGCCTGGAAGAAGTCAATCAGTTGGCCCACCTGCGGCTTGTACCGCTCCAGGGCCTGCTCCGACCAGGCGTGCAGCCGCGACCAGTCGTGCGGCGGCGTGGGAATCAGCTCGATGGGACGATTCAGCAGAATCAGCAGCTTGGCCAAGTCCCGTACAATAGGGCGGTACGAATTGGCCGCCGCCACCTCGCCGGACAAGTAGAGCTTGCGGATCTGACGCCGGGTGTCGTTCAGCATGGCCAGAAAGTACTCCGCATTGGGACGCATCTCGTTCAGCTGCCGCATAAAGTCCGCCCGGTCCATGGTGTTCTCATTGATGAGCTTCTGCTTGACGGACTTCCTACGCCGCTTGCGTCGCACCAGCATCACGGCCACGGCCAGCAGGGAGAGGCACACGAGAAAGCCACCAAGTAGACCAGCCAGGGCGGCCATCAGCGGTCCAGAGTAGCCATTGGGCACACAGACGCGACCCATGAACTCTGTGTGCGCTGACCACTGATCCAGGTAGCCGGCGGGGCATTGATCCACGCACTGGCGTGTGTCGGTCACCAGGTACATGGGGCACTTGATGCAGCCGGCCTTGTTGCAGCGCAGGCAGTGGGAGCTCGTCGATGCGGGGCAGCCTGCAAGTACAAACGGAGAGGGAAAACTGGGTTAGTCACGCTGTGGGTCACTCTCTGTCGTCGTTGTCGTTGTCGTTGTTGTTGTTGTACCCCCAATTAGTGCTGATCAGCATAATTGTACCCTAATTTGCATAGGAGCTGCTCCCACAGACAATTGTCCACGTTAATGCCCGTAAATTAAATCTTCCATAGACTTCCCGAAACATCTAAATTACACTGAGCAACCAGAATCGGTAGCTATCAGCCCAAAATCAATATTTAAACAAAGTTTTTCCAAGTCCCAAGCGATCCCAAGTGATCACATATCCCTAAGAATAAGAAAATTCTTATATTTATCCATTAAAAGTAGAGTTTTTCCCATAAAACTTGTTTGCTGTTTAGTGTTTTCCGATCCCAAGCCACTTAGTTCTCTTAAGGAGCTTATGAATACCAATTAACCCGTTGAGAGATCGCCCATTCATTCCATTTAAAACATTTCAGAACTCAATGTTGGACTTTAAAGTTTGTCAACAAACACAGCAAGCAGCTATGACTATGCTAATGAACCATAACCACACCACATGTGATGTCTGTTGGGGCGTCTGCCTCTGCTCTACTCGCTGACAGGCCACTAACCATTCCTTCAGCCCATCTTGAAACATCTCTATTCAGTGTGGTTGCTTTTTCGCTGTAACTCTCTGACATTTCTTTGTGTGTTTGTGGGGAAATTCAAGGTAAGGCATCGTGTTTGACTTTTGGTTTTTCATAAACAACATTAGCATATGGCGATCCGCCTACTTGTGCCGCCCCGTGTCCAATCTTCTGCCCCGCCTCCAACGTCAAAGTGTTGGGCAAACAGAGGGCTACATATTCTAGGAAGGCGGCAGAAAGTTCAACATGGTCCAAACACACACACTGCAGATAGTACACTGAGCCATCGGGCTAAAGCCCGTCGTCAAGATCAAAAGTTTTTAGAGCCGCCGCCGCCACTGTGGTCGCGTATGTGTTGTCAACATCGAAAAGACGCCGTGAGACTCCCAAACAGCTCCACCAGAGCTCTCCATCTTTCGCTATCTGGACGGGCCGCCTGGCCTGGCCCATTTATCTTGGACAAAAGTTTTTGATTTCCAGCCCCCAAAACCTCACATGAGAATGAGATGCGGGAAGAAACAATAACATTGCACCACGTACGCTTCCTGGGGCCCCGGCTCATTCGATTGCAATGCAGCACTTGGCGTCTCCTGCCTCTGTCTGCGTTTCAGGTGGCTCTCAGCATCGTCGTCGTCATCATCAATGGCATTAACTTGTTTATGCGCTAATCAGACACACACAGCCCCCGGGCGGGAGTCCACGATTGAGGATCACCTTGGCCATGGCCATGGCCATGGCCAATTCCCAGGCAATAAGAGCTGCATGGCAGCTCCAGACTCCAGACATCGGGGATAATCAGATGTAATTCGTAATTGATATTGTTCAGTGCATTTCTGTCTCTCTGTCTGTCTGTATTTATGGGTCTCTGTTTCTTCGGTGTCTCTGAAACGCGGTATTCCTTCTGTAAAACCCTCTTTATTCCTTCACTTCTCTCATTCGGAATGGTCTCGATCTGGTTCTGGTTCTGGTTCTGGATTCTGTATGCTCTGGGTCTCTGTTCGGGGCGTGCAGTTGATCAATGATAATTGGTTATTAAATGGAAGATTGCCTTTATTCCGCCTGTCAATGCTGTCTACCACTGCGTGGCTCCTCTCTTCTTTTACGAGTAGTTGGCTCATGTAAATGGCCTGGTGCTGTGATCGAATCGATATAAATAATGATATCTCGATTGGTCCTCAAAGGATACCAATCTCAATGATACACACTCGTATATGGCTAAAACAATTTGTCCAATGGAATAAATGCATGAAGATCAGCATGAGAGATTGAGATTGGCTTAGAGAACAAATCAGAGAAGTACAAAAATAGGAAAATACGAACACAGATTCACTTAAAAGGAGAGACAAAGATCAAGATCAATCTCTGGGCAATTACAGCAACTGACAGATTCCTAATCCATGGACATGTCCATGTGTATCTGCCATCTGCAGGAAATATTCATCAAATGAACATCACTTATTATCTCGAAATTATTCCATTATCGATCGTTTGAAGAATATTTTTGAGGCCAACCCCATTACCCATTATCATTATTGATTCCTCCTCGACCCAATCATGGATAAATTTCTCTTCACCTTCACGTGTGCCTCTACCTTCTGGTGCTTCTCTGCCAAATGATTAACTAAATAAGCGGCTGCGGGTCTTAAACATGACATTAAAACTGTGATGACTACAACTATATTTACGTCCATCATCATCATGATCATCATCTGGTAAGACATTTTTCAACTTTCTTTTCTCTCAGAATGAGTCGGAGAATCTGCCAGCGAGCCTAGTAGCCATCAGAGCCACGAGTTTTGGGCTTTTAGCACCAAATATCTAGGCGTGTCGAGTAGATACAACAACAACACAGTAACCAGATAATCAAACAACAAATTACTTTCACTCACAACAAATAAACGAGGAAGGCAGCGGCAACAGCGACCGGGCGACCGTAAAAACGAAATAAAATGTTTATCGGACAATCACAAATGAAAACGAATGAAACACGCATAAAGTAGATTCATTAGATCACTTTATAATACTCGTATATCTAGATAATTGACTCAACTCTGACAACTGGGCTGACTGTGGTTGGGTGGGGGACTGCGGCTCAAGGTCGTTCCAAATCAGAGAATCCCACAGCAACACAAAAAGCTGACAAAATGTGGAGCTCTCTCTCTCTCTCTCTCTCTCTCTCTCTTTCCTTCTCTCTGTCTGTCGTTGCCGATCGTCAATCGCTGATTGTCATCCGTCGTTTTCCAGCATAGACAATGGCCCCCTCGTCAATGTCATGGCTGTCAGAGGGGCGGAGTAGCAGCAGTCCCATGGCTTACACAGGGTAAAGGGGTGTGGCAACTAGTGGGGGCAACACTTGGCTCTCGTTTGTCAATTAGGCATTTGACATTTGCATAAATGTTTATGCAAAAACAAAAGAAGAAACGAAACGAAGCAAAACAAAATGCCAAAGAAAACAGAAAAGGCAACAGACAAGAGTTCTATGCAATCGACAAACAGAGCAAATAAATAGTAATATGCAAAAAAGAAGCCACTATAATTTATGAGGCATTTCCGGCCACAACCCTTGCCCCATCCCTTGTAGGATATTCCACCAAAAAAACAATACAGAATAGGCATAGTTTCGATGTTCCAACTATTCAATAACCTTGAAGATCAATTCCAAATGATTTATACGTTAACACATGGCTCATGTCATGCGGCAGCCCCTAACATATTATGGTTGGGTGGCGCTCGAGCCCTTATATATAGTCATTCGAGTCTGTGCCGAAATGGGTTTACCAACTCCAAACAAGCCTTTATTATGTTTCTGCCAACAGCAGCAGCAATTCAATTTCCTACAGAAAGAAAGCCTTTCCCCAAAACGCGAATTAAAGGCAACAACTGAACCCAAAGGGAATTTGAGGCAAAACAAAAGAAAAAGCAGAACAGCCATGCCTGGACGGGGCCCTGAGCAAATGGCGTTTATTAAAATAACGGTACTTAAGTGCGCCCTAAGCAAACTGCAATCGAAGTTAAGACCAGCCCAACATGCAACATGCAACAAAAACACAAAAATAACCACAAAAAAAAAGGCCAAAACAACAAAAAACTTGAGCATGGGCGGGTCTCGGAACAACGGGAAACATGCCACACAGCAAAAAGCCCAGCACCGAACGGAGCACAGAGAAAAAAGACATTTAATAATCATTTTAGGGAGCGTGAGGGGGGGCAGGGAAAAACAGAACAAAATATGGACCATAATAATAATAATATGGGGAGACATCAAATTTTTGATCTTCCTAAGAAACGAAAATTGCTTAAGCAGGCAAAAGTTTTCAAAGATTCTCCAAGATGAAGCCCTTGGATAAGCAACACTCGTAAATATGCAGAGAATTACAAAATCAATGCACAATTCTACAGAAAAATAGCAGCAGAAGCTCTTTTTGTCTTGACAAAAGTTTAAGATAGAATTTCACAATCTTTGTGAATTTAAAACAAATTTTGCTGCTTTAGTTATACTTGTAAATGGATAATGCTACAGCAATATTTATTAGAGCTTTAAAGTAATTTATTGCACAATTTTCGAATCAAAACGACAGAAAAACAATTGTTTATTTTCGAATGTACTTCCATTTGTATTACCAGCACATTGTTTTCCACTCGAACTTTAGTCTTTTCATCTCGATAGCCGTGCCTTTTCGTTGCCAGATTTGATTTGATTTGATTTTGTTTCGAGTGCTGCTGGTATCCATTCCATGATGCACTTCAACACACCCCAAAATATATGTATAAGTTCATGAACTTCATAAATTTGTGGCTACTCATAAATATATCTGAGTACATTTATTGTGAGGAGAACGATTCATTGGAGCAAGGAGCGCCGAGAAGTGCTTCCATGGTGTGCTTTTTAATTGCCAATACATTTCAAACACGTCAAACGCCAATTTATTATGAATTATTGTTTTGGTATTTATTTTTATTTTCGGCTAACAAACGTTTCCTTATTTTTTTTAGATTTTTGTGCGCTGCTCAAAACTCATACAACAGACAGCCAGGACAGATGGATAAAAAAGAAAAAAAGATTTTCGTATTTTTTTGATTTCAAACATCAGTTCGATTTTTTGTCATGATTGTCACGATTTTATTGCTGGACAAGACAGCCCTGCCAAGACTCTGAGACTGAGCCGCTGAGACTCTGGAGACTTCTACTTTGACTTCGATTTAAAGTCTGAGACTTTGGAGACTCTTAACAGCACACAAATTTGCACAAAGCTCAAAATTTTGTTGTAGTTTTTCGATTTGCCGTAGCCACAAAAAGTAATTAAAATGCAGCTGACAAAACAAAGTTTGTCGTGCAGACAGAAACATTTAACATGCAATCGAAAAACACC